GATCGGACCGGAAATGGAGCCTCACGCGTTCGCTTATTTAGACGATATTGTTATCGTCACCCGTTCGTTCGATGAGCACCTCGTGTGGCTTAAACGCGTGTTAGACCGAATAAGGGAAGCCGGTCTTACGATCAATCCCGAAAAGAGTAAATTTTGCCGATCGCAAGTAAAGTACCTTGGATTTTTGGTACAGCACGAAGGCTTGAAAGTCGATCCCGACAAAACCGCGCCGATTCTCGAGTATCCGCCGCCCCGAAATATTAAACAGCTGCGACGCTTTATCGGAATGGCGTCTTGGTACCGCCGATTTATACCGCAGTGTGCTACTAAATTAGAGCCGCTGACGCGCCTCCTCCGAAAGAACTACTCTTGGGAGTGGGGGGGTGACCAAAAATCGGCGTTCGAAACCATTAAATCCTGCATTACGGAACCGCCCACGTTATCGTGTCCGAAGTTCGAATTACCGTTTACGCTTCAGACGGACGCGAGTTCGGTCGGGCTGGGCGCCGTATTAACCCAGGAATCGGAGGGCGTAGAACATGTTATTGCCTTCGCGAGCCGCGCGTTATCGGAAGCGGAAAAGAAGTACTCGACTACCGAGCAAGAGTGCCTCGCGGTTGTATGGGCGATTCGAAAATTTAGGCCGTATCTTGAGGGCTATAAATTCCAAGTGATTACGGATCACAGCAGCTTACGGTGGCTGCATAATTTGAAAAATCCGACGGGACGATTAGCAAGGTGGGCCCTCGAGTTATTAGAATACGATTACGAGATCGAGCACCGTAAGGGGGCACTACATCATGTTCCCGATGCGCTATCGCGAATGTACGAATCCGCCGAGGAATTGTACGACACCACCGAGGAATTGTGCGCCGTCGCGATCACGGGAGACGCATGGTACGATGCGCGTGTACGGAATATCGAAAACGAGCCGCGTAAATACCCGGGATGGAAGGTCGAAGAGGACTCGCTTTACTTTCGCAAACCGAACCCGGTCGTATCGCAGGTCGTGGACGATCTCGAAGCGTGGAAGTTGGTGCTTCCGCAGGAATCGCGTCTAGAGGTAATTCGAAGTAACCATGATCCGCCTCAAGCCGGACATGGGGGAGTCGAAAAGACATATCGGCGCGTTGCGGCGAGGTATTATTGGCCGCGTATGTTTCGCGACGTCGCGAGTTTCGTGCGCCGTTGCGATGTTTGCCAACGGACGAAAGTCGAGCAGAACGTTCCGGCTGGTTTGATGGGACGGCGTACCGTAAACACGCCGTGGTCGGTTGTAGCCGCGGATATTATGGGTCCGTTTCCCGCGTCACGCAGTGGCTTCGTGTATTTGTTAGTCATCCAGGATCTTTTCACTAAATGGATCGAGTGTTGTCCGCTCCGTAAGGCAAACGGCAAAAAGATTCGAGAGGCTATCGCGGACTTGGTAATAAATCGCTGGGGGACGCCGCGTGTCTTATTAACCGATAACGGCACGGAATTTGTCAACCGAGATTTGAAAGCTCTCGCGGAAGAATTTGGCATTACTCGCGTGACGGTACCGCCGTATCACCCTCAGGCGAACCCCGTCGAGCGGGTGAATCGCGTAGTGAAAACCATGATTACGGCATTTCTCGAGCGCGACCACCGGGAGTGGGACGTTCACTTGGCGGAATTTCGATTCGCGTATAATACCGCATTCCACACCTCCTTACAGGCTACGCCTGCCTTCTTGAATTTCGGACGGGAACCCGCCCCGGCCAACGTGCGCGCGGAGGGAGCCGATCCCGAGCTAGAGGTAGACGATGGCGATACCGCGCGATGGAAAGAGCGCATGGAGCGTGTTCAGGCTTTGCGAGACTGGGTAATCGAGAACTTAGATGCGGCGCACCAGAAACAGGCGCATTATTATAATTTGCGTCGACGGGATCGACGCTTTGCGGTGGGCGATCAAGTATTAAAACGACAGCATGTCTTGTCGTCCGCCGCGCATGCAGTAGCGGCGAAGTTAGCTGCGAAGTACCACGGGCCGTTCACCGTGGCCCGGGTACTATCGCCAGTAGTGTACGATTTGGTGGACTCAGGGGGCAGGGCGCATGGGAAGACACACGTTAAAGACTTAAAACCCTACGTGTCTGGACCCGCGTTGTAGGTCTTGCTTTCGCGTGCCGTGTCCCGCCAGCCGAGATGACGGAGCGGCGGAAGATGCGCGAGATAGCCGAGCTCCTGGAGGAGGCCGCGGAGCAGAACCCCAGCTTCTGGAGGGAGCTGCGCGAGGAGATAGGGCGCGTCCGGATGAACCGCGACGGGCCCCCGGCGCGGGCCGACCCCGCGCCGGCCGAGCCGGCCGTGCAAGCGGACGCGCCGGCGGGGGAGTCGCGCCCGGCCCAGGATGCCGAGCCGGCCGCCGTACGGGCGGACGCGCCGGCGGAGGAGCCGCGACCCGTCCGGGATGCCGAGCCGGCCGCTGCGCCCGACCAGCCGCGGGAGGACAGGGGCCACGTCGAGGCGAGGGCGCACAGCCCTGAATGGGCCCGCCGCCCCTACCAGGGGTGCTGGAATTGCGAGGCGCGCGGGCACTATTACAGCGAGTGCCCGCGCCCCCGCCGCGCCCAGAGGTTTTGCTTCCGTTGCGGACGACGGGACGCGACGCTGAGGGACTGTCCGAACTGCGGGGAGGCCTGGAGAGCCGAGGGCCCCGCCGTCGAGGGACGTGACCGGGCCAGATCCACCCCTTCCCGGCGAGGGAGTCAGCTCCCGTCAATGCGGCGGAGCGCCGCGGGATCGCCACCATAAGCGGGGAGGAGAGCCGCGCGACCGGGGGCGAAGCCGCCGAGGCGCCGCGTCCGGCCTGATCGGTTCCGTTTCGTGTTTTGGTTTTTTTTTTCTCTCGCGCCCCGTCGGAAAAGTGACCCGACGTTCTGGTTCTCGCGTCGATCGGGAGCTCGCGTGGCATTACCGCCTTGATCAAGAGTTTTTTTGTTTTCATTCGATCCAGATTTTGTTTTTTTGTTGCGTTCCCGTTTTGGACAACAGCCTTTAGTTTTATTCTCGCGTCGATCGCGATCTTGTTTTGCGTTAGCGGCTAGGTTAAGTATTTTTTGGTTCGCGTTCCGTCGCCGTTTTATGTCCCCGTGGGGACCGGTACCTTTTTTTTGTTCTCGCGTCGATAAAGATCCTATTTTGTGTCCGCGTTTAGGTTAAGTTTTTCTTGTTTTCATCGACCCAGGTTTAGTTCTTGTGTGTTCCCGGCTGGATAATAGCCCTTATTTTGGTTCTCGCGTCGATCGCGATTTTGTTTCCTGTGAGCGTTTAGATTAGGACTTTTAGTCCCCCCGTTGGTAACGGTCAATCGCGTTTTTCGGTTCGCGTACGGGTAACGATGCCTCGTGTGCTGTGACGTACCGGGGGAGGGGACTGGCCAAGAATCGGCTGTGGTGCGACGGATTTTGTAAGTTCGCCCCAGCGCGCCTTCTACCGTTACGGTCTGCGAAATAAACGGCGCCGCCCGAGAAGCTGCGTGATAGTTATTCTACGACCCTATCCCCCTGCGCCCGGCGTCTGCGAGCGCCTCGGGCCGTTACTTCGGCGCTACCGTTGGGGACCGACGCGCCCCACGGTACCGCGAGTTCGCGATGATAGCAACCGTCGCGGTTGTTCGAGCGAGTGTCTGTGTTCGTCAATGATGAGTGGGCCCGCGCTCTGGAGGTTGCGATCGCTCTCCGACGCCCGAGCCGAGACTCGGGAATCGGGCGGGGCCTGATGGGGGCGATCGTCGCCGGCACGGTTTCTCTTGGGGGTGAGGGG